TTGTTTTATTTTTTCAGTAATTGTTGTCTTAGTTTCCTTCTTTAAAGGTTAGTATTACTTTACGTTGGTAATTACTATTTGAACTGTAAAGCAATTTGAATATATATAACATATGACTGTCTAGTGTCTACAACTTCATTTTTATTCATATATTTATGTGTGTGTGTGAAACGTAATGACTTCCCTTTCTCACTCATTTGCTTAGCGAACGCATAGACCCACTTTTAGTACAAAATTAAATAGAGAGATGGAAACTCAAGAGTGATAACTCTTGAAATAAATAGAAGTGTATATTATTAGTCAATACTAACAAATCTTTGGCTATTCAACTTTAAAATTAGGAAAAAATGTATAGAAATAATAAAAAATGCTTACACTTTTATAAATAGTATAGATATAGATATAGATATAGATATATAGATAGATCGATAGATAGATAAAAAATGTTTGAAAAATAAAAATTCAAATAACCAATTAAAAAGGTTACATGGGGTGCCTTTTCAAATTCAATAACTGAAATGATGTTAGGTAGTGCACTAAATTGATAATAATTTATTTATTAGCTCATTTATATATTAATATTAATAATTATAAATATGCTGACACTTCCTGAAAAAAATAAAAATAAATAAATAACTGAAATGATGAAATAGGTAGTGCACTAAATTGGTAATTTATGTATTAGCTCATATATGTATATTAATAATTACAAATATAATTAAAATAACCAATTGAAAAGGTCACTTGGGTGCCTTTTCAAAGTCACTAACTGAAATGAAAACATTAGGTAGTCCACTAAATAGATAATAAATTATTGATTAGCTCATTTAAATATTAATAGTTACATATAGAACTATGTTGTAAGCATTTATAAATAAATAAGGTGTATAGATTAATTACAAATAAAAATATAATTGACAAAATAATGGTTGAAAATTAATGTAAATTCAATTAATGCAAACACTTTTAATGAAAGGAAACTTTTTGTATTTAAAAAAATATGAAAAATGTTTGGAAATAAGAGAAAGCGGCTTTTATGAGTAGTATAGATGAGAGAAAGCTTTAGAATCTTAATAGTTACATATAGAACTATGTATATCCATTTATAAATAAATAAGGTGTATAGATTAATTACAAATAAAAATGTAATTGACAAAATAATGGTTGAAAATTAATGTAAATTCAATTACTGCAAACACTTTTATTGAAAGGAAACTTTTTGTATTTTAAAAAATATGAAAAATGTTTAGAAATAAGAGAAAGCGGCTTTTATGAGTAGTATAGATAAGAGAAAGCTTTAGAATCTTAATCTTAAAATATATATTATATATCAACGTGTTTAACACAACATCTCCTAATTTTCGAAATCATAGGTAGAATTAACACAACTTAGGTTATGCATGTAACTTTTCAGAATATAATCATGTGACACATGTATACATGAACCTAGATGGTGATAGATGATGATGATAAGTGTGATTCTTACATTTTAAGCTTCGACTTGACAAGATGAAATATTTCACCTTTGTATATAATCTTGGACCTTTTTACCCTTTTGAAAGCTTTCTTCAGTAAGTGTAGACTTCACACTAATTTCATCTCACTACCTATTTGTAACTAATGACATAAAAATTGAATTACATTTAGTGAGTTTTGTTCTACGAAATTTGCCAATCACATTACTAGAATCCTAATAATCCTAACAACATCCTACTAAAAATCAGAAGCCCACGAGAGGACCAAGCACATTGATGTCATCTTGCACTTCATCAGAGATGTGATTGCACAGGGTGCTATTGTAGTGAGGAAGATTGGGACAACAAATAATTTGACGGAAATGATGACTAAGGTCATTCCTTTTTTCAATTTCAGACATAATTAGTGTTTGAGGCCTTAGGGGCACGTGGAGGAGGCGAAAGGAGTAGTTGGGAGTGTGGAGTTTGGTGGAATTCGAGCCAAGGTGGAGATTTGTGTTGTTATGACCCAAATTTTGACTCATTTTTTAAGCTTGCAGGATTCTGTTTAGTGCCCTGCTGTATAAGGGTGTTTAGGGCTTGGAATGAAATTATGTGAGAACACTGAAAATCATAGAAAAGAGAGTAGAGCGAGAGCTAGGGTTGGGTGCTGAATCTTGTAATCTCATGTTTTTTGTATAGTGAAATCTTTCGCCGGATGGATATAGGTACAACTTGTGCTGAACCACGTAAATCTTTGCGTTCTTTGTGTGGCATGTTTACTTTTCTCTTGTGATTCATGCTTTGTTCTTGGTGGTCGGTGTTTGTTGTAACACATACATTATTGTGGTTAGAATTGAATGATATTTTGCATATGTTATCTTGAATAAAAAGTTGGTGTCAGGGGCTTAGAAAGAGAAACTTTTGGATGTTGCTTTGGTGGCTGTGGCTGGAGTGGTGTTTGACAATATATCATTATTATTTGATTGTGGAGGATTGGAAAAAAGGGAAATTTCCTTTCAGATTTGCGGACATGTGGGTTTGAGCAGATGGCTTCAAGGATAGGATCAAGCATTGGTAGGATGGATACAATGTGCGGGATACTCGTAGTTTTATTCTAGGCAACAAGCTTCGTATGTGGTGGATATCAAGAAGTGGAATTGGGAGGTGTTTGGTAATTTGGAATGGCAAATGGTTAGACTTATCGCTGAGATTTCAGAGTTGGATTGCAAAGAATGAGTGGTGGGGTTGGATGACGTGGAGAAGTGCAGGAGGGAGGACTGCAAGGCAAAAATTGGTGAGATTGCAGTTTTGAAGGAGCTGAAGTCTAGATTTGTGGCTTAAGGAAGGAAATAGGAATATGGTTGGCTAATGCTCATAGGAGGGGCAACCACAATGGTAGAATCCGTATTGTAGGTGAAATGTTGAGTAAGGAGGAGGATAGTAAAAGAAGTATTGTGTCATTCTATCAGCACAGCCGTTGCGGAAACTCCAATTGGAGACCATTGCTTAATGGAGCAGAGTTTGAGTGGATTTTGGAAGAAGACATAGAATGGTTGGATAGACCCATTTGCTGAAGATGAGGTGGAATTGGCTTTGAAGAGTTGCAATGTGGATAAGGCTCCGGGCTCGAATGGCTTCACTAGGGCTGCAATCGAGCCGAGCCAAGCCGAGTCATGGTGTGCTCGAGCTTGGCTCGGCTCAAGTGATAGAATGCTCAAGCTCGGCTCAAGCTCGAGCCGAGCTGAGAAATTTTGGTTCAAGCGCCGAGCTCGAGCTATTTAATTTTTTTGTTTTTTTTTTTTTTGTATTTCGTATCTAACCGATCTAAAAAAAAAAAAATGAGAAATAGATTTGCAGCAATAAAAAGCGAGAAGTTTGAGAGAAAAAGAGAAAGAAAGTGATAAATTTGATCGAAAATTAAACTTATCATAGTTGATTTTGATGGAAGAAGTTGAGAGATGCACAAATCAATAGTAAACCCCAAAATCTATACTAAAAATCGGTTTGGATGAAAGACAATTAATACATAAAAATCAAATATAAGAAGAGAAAGAGAGAGAAGTAAGATTCCATGACAGAAAGCAAATTGTTGAGTGTGTTGCCACTGCTGCTTGGGCTACTGATAATTTTAGAAAAAGGAAAGATGATTAGGGTTAGACATAAGACATGGGCTTGGGTTTGATTGTACAGATGGGCTTGTGTTTGATTGTACAGATGGGCTTGGTTTTTGTTTTAAAATGAATAAATGATAAAATTGGGTCTAAAACATAACTAAAAAATTTAGTGGGCTTGTGTTTGATTGTACAGATGGGCTTGGTTTTTGTTTTAAAATGAATAAATAATAAAATTGGGTCTAAAACATAACTAAAAAATTTAATGGGCTTGTGGACTAAGCCTTCACAACATAAAATTATATATTATAATTGGATATGTGTGTGTATATATATATATATATATATATATATATATATATTATAATCGAGTATGTTCGCGAACGCCTTATCGAGCTTAGTTTGTGAACGGTTCATGAACAAACAAGCAGAGCCTATTGATGTTCAGGCTCGGCTCGTTTATGAATCGAGTCTCAAAATTCAGCTCGAGCTTGGTTCATTTATAAATGAACTGAGCTCGAGCCGAGTAATTAACGAGCCGAGCCAGAGTAGTTCGTGAACGGCTCGGCTCGTTTGCAGCCCTAGGCTTCACTATGGCCTTCTTTAAGTAGAATTGGAAGGTGGTCAGGGAGGAGGTGGACACTTCGGTTTTTTCATGTGCATGTTCAATTTGAGAAGAGCATGGACGCATTGTTTATTGTTCTTATCCAAAAAAGGGTGGGGCTGTAGATGCCAAGGACTTTAGACTTATTATTTGGTGGGTTGCATATATAAGTTAATTGCTAAAGTCCTGGTTTTATGATTGAGAAATGCTATTGATGGTGTGATCTTGGAATGCCAAAATTCTTCAGTTGGAGGGTGCAGATTTTGGATGTGGTGTTGATTGCTAGTGTGTGTGGACTCCAGAATCAGTAGTAAGAGTTGTGGTACTGTACTTTTAGCTTTTTGCTTTGGTGCAACTGGTGCAAGAGTTATTTTGCCCCTTCTGTTTAAGGTGGGCTCTGTTTCTGGATTATATGAGCAGCTCTCAGATGATTATGCATATGAGGATTCCATAACCTAATGTTGACATTATCATGATGGTACTACATATTTTTTTATCCAACTATTGGCCTTTTAGGCATTTATGGATGTTTGTTACTTTAAGCTGGGCTCTGTTTCTGGATTACAGGAGCAACCCCCAGATGAATGTTCATATGAGGATTCCATAACTAGTTTTGACCTGAGAGTGCAAGGTGCCTAACACCTTGGGCTTTATTCTAATTGCAGGGAAGTTTAGGTTCTTAGGTTTTTTTTTTTTTTTTTAAATTTCACCTCCACCAAAATTCATAAAAATAGTTTTTGTTACTTTAGTTTCTTTATTCATTTGTCGCTGAATGTCTGCAATTCTTCTCCATATATTTAGATCTCACTGATTTGGTTTTACTGATAGGCATTGGTGCAGGGTATTATAAATACAAGAACTCCTTTAACAGCAAGATGAGTGACGATGCTTTTGACGGACAGATATTGTCTGAGAAATTGTCTAAACTCAATAGTTCGCAACAAAGTATAGAATGTATCCTTTTCATATGGAAAAAGAAGCCCCGAATACCGGTATTTGTCTAAAAGCTGTAAAGATCTAATGCTTTTGTGCTTCATTGACTTTCCATTTCTAGCTGTAGGAGTGAATGTAATTAAACTTTACTTTTTTAATATAAAAAATAAGAATTTCTTTTTTTGATTTCTAAGCATCTGTTACAAAGTTTAGCATATTTTTAAGTTGCAGATTTAGATAATAGTACTAGGCTTGATTTCTCTTTCTTTCATTTGTAAAAGTTAAAACATATATGTAGTTATGCATGCATTAGTATTTAAATTCAAACATGATTCATACATCATAAAGTGCACTTATTTATACCTTGTATATGTGATTTCTCAATTCTTGGATTTGATTTGAATTTGAACTCAATCTGGTGTATTGCATATACAGGTAGTGTGCCAATACTATCCTATTTCTCATCTCCATGCTTCATTGATAATGTGAAAAACTCAAAGCGTATATATTTATTGTTTAGTTGGCCTTTTATTCTATCAGTGTTTTAAAAATTGGTGCTATAATTTTAATAAAAAAAGAAGACGCTTTGTGATTTTGACTAGTGTAAATTATAAAAATCAGCAACCTAAACTGTTTATAAAGGATTGTGGGGGTGATTATTCAGCTAGGATGGAGGATGTTTAATTTAGTGGATGAAGATGGGAAGAGGGACGGTGTCCCTTGACTAAGAGGGAAGGGGATATGCTCCATTTATTGCCATCAATATCACATAGCTTTACTGTTTCTTGATTGCTTGAATGAGGGGTTCTTCCAGTGTCACCAGCAGAAGAAACAGAATAGTGGTTTTGTATTACAATAATTTTAATATTAGAATTTAGATGATGTCTGAAGTACTATTTATTTTTCTGAAATAGTTTAATTTGTTTGTTTGTTTTTTTTGTTTTTTTGTTTTGTTTTGTTTTGTTTTGTGTTTTTTTTTTTTTTTTCCTGATCTATGTTATTGTATTATTTCCTTATTTATTATTCTCTCTCTTTTTTTCCTTTTTGCTTTCATATTTTCTCTTTTTATTTTGATATAAAAAATGATGCGTGATATTTACTTTTTTTCTAATTTATTTTTATCCTAATATTGTTTGTTCTATGTAAGGTTATGTACTAAATTATCAATATATAACTTCAATTTACTGTTCCATGTAAGTGAAACTTTATAATAGTGAAAGGTAAAGATTACTAAGCTTTTTACTTGTAATGCCAGCTTAAAATTTAGTCAAATCATCTTTATAAATTAAAAAAAAAAATTCATTAAAAACTCAAATTTATGGAAGTTTGTTATTACACCATCACTTTAGTACATTTCTATTGTTTACTATCATGTGAAAGTTACTTTTATTTGTTTTATCTTCAATATAAAAAGACAACGGCTAGTGTTGCTCATTGGAACCTATTCTCGACCAGAATCTGAGTTTCCTAAAAGGAAAAAAAATGACAATTATAACCGTAGTTTGATTGCTGGATCTGTTTAGCAAAATTTATTCATTTCTTAGCAGTGTTGAATTAGTGACAGCCTGTAAAATATACTTGTCATTAACTAAAAGCCAATTAGGAAGTAGAGTCAGTAGACATCTCTTTCACTTTATTAATTATTTTGTGGTGTGTGTGTTTGTGGTTGGGGGGTGAGGGGGATACCAATGTTTTTCTTCAAATAGTATGTCTAATTGATATTTTGTAGCTGAGTACTTCTAATTTTGCTCAGACATTATTTGTTGCATACAATTTTTTTTTTAACATTTAATCAGCGTTATCCCGTTGGTGTATTTCTCATCGGAAGAAAGCCAGGCAGATTGTTGAAACGTGGGATAAATTGTTCAATTCTGCACAGCGAGAACAACGTGTTTCTTTTCTTTATTTGGCCAATGACATTCTGCAAAATAGCAGGCGAAAGGGCAACGAATTTGTGAACGAATTTTGGAAAGTCCTTCCTGCAGCTCTCAAGAATGTTTATGAAAATGGTGATGAATCTGGAAAGAAAGCAGCCTCCCGATTGGTAACTCCTATATTTATGTATTAAGAGGTTATCATGTTCGATCACATTGAATTTGTTTTTGAGAGAGTTGAAGTTCATTGCATAAATTCATACATGCATATATGGATCAATCAACATTCATAATAAAGTATATGCATCTTTCTCTCTGTGGGTACAATTATGATGGTTTGAACCCAAGACAACACACTACCTTCTTGAAGGTCCCATTCTCCAATTTTATTTTCAAACTACTATTCTTTTTTGAATTACTTGACATCACCACCTTGTCTATCATTCTGCTTCTAAGCCCTTTGAACATTTCTATTTTATTGAATCCGTCCTCGCAACTTAAAGCAATTTAGCAGAACATCAGTTATTTTACACATTTTGAATTGTTTTTCAATTTATTTATTTTTGGGTGGGGTGGGGGGCGTATTGTAATAATTTATCAGGTTGGCATATGGGAAGAGAGAAAGGTTTTTGGATCTAGGGGTAAAAATCTTAAAGATGAAATGCTGCGTGAGGGTCCTCCTCTGTCAGTTAGCAATGGGAAGAACTCAAATCCTGTCAATCCTGTCAAGATAATGAAGAAAGATTCTCATGCCTTAAGAATTGTAAGTGTTTTTTTAATTGTTGTATTTGTTATTTTGTTTGCGACATCTGGGTTCGAATTCTATGTTTTGTGAACTCAGACCTGGTCTGTTCTTGGTCATTGTAACTTCAGAAATTGCCTATCGGGGGTATGCCAGAAAAAATAGTAACTGCATTTCTGTCGGTACATGATGAAAATACCATTGAAGAAGCTGCCTTAAGCAAGTGTGAAGATGCTGTTTTTCGTGTGGGAAAAATGGAGAAAGACATTGAAAGTACCTCTACTCAAGGTAAGAGTTATGCTTAGAGTCTTTTGGTTAAGGGTTACACAACTTCTATGCAATATTTGTTGGTATGGCATTTTTTCTCTTCTTTCTGATGCCTAATGAGGCACTTCAGGAATTTTCTTTCATGATCCCGGAAATCATGATCTGGGCAATGCATGTTCTTTAAACAATTAAAATGAATGATATTTATGCTATCAAATGTTAACTTGCCTGGTCCCTCAAAATCCACCCCCGCTCCGAACCTGAGACGGGTTTTACTTTTTATTACCATATCCGCCCCTACTCCATTTAGGGGCGTACCAATTCCGTTCGGGAGGAAATTGACACCCCTACTTACCAGCCAATGCAATTTTATTATAGTAATTGCCTAACCTCTATATAGAAAGCTGTTGTAATGCCTGTTAACAACCATCTACTCCAAAAGCTTAAGTTGTTGGAGATGGTATTACTTAAATATATAAATCCTTCAACACGCCCCCTCACGTGTGGCCTTCTTTTTGATCCAATGCGTGTTTTTCAATTTTTTAATTAGAGTGACGGTGAGGTTTGAACTCGAGACCTTTGACTCTTATACTATGTTAACAACCATCTACTCCAAAAGCTTAATCTGTTAGAGAGGGTGTAAGTTAAATATGTAAATCCTTCAACAATGCCTCTATTGAAAAGACAGGGAACGGGTTACCTGCTCTTAACGATCAAAGCACACCATTTCATTCTGAATTAAAGACCCCGAGATATTATTACGGCAAGGGATGAACAAAAATTTAGAGCTCTGATTCAAAATTCTCTGGATTCATCCACCATCAACTTGAAGTTTTTGCCTATTTTAGTTTGTGGTTACTTCTAAGGTGTAGATTGTACCAAGTGGTTACTTCTAAGGTGTAGATTGTACTGCTTCATTGGTACTTCTTTTGAAATGGAGATAAAGAAGGGGACAAGGAGAATGAAAAGGACAGTGAAAGAGAAAGGAAAGTGAATTAAAGTGCAGATGCTTTTCTCCCACAATTCCACGGTTGGAATAGAATGTAGCCGAACAGTTTGTCCAAGTCTCTTCCGAGATATGTTGAGCAGTTTCTTGTATAGGACCCTTGGGTCTTGGCATAAATATACTTGTTGCAGATTCCAAACTGGTTTCTTCTCAATAATATTCCTCCCCACCCCCACCCCCACCCCCACCCCCCCGCGCGAACAAAAAATAAAGAGTCAAACTGCCCATCATGCAACTGTAGAAGTTGATCCTACTGATGGAAAGGCTTTCAGTATGGTCCTCTTGTTTGAATATGCACAATTCAAACCAGCTCGATTTCAGCAAGTTTTTGATCATGGAGAGCAAGAATCCAACGAAGTCCTGCTATGAATGGTCCGGTGGTAGAGTCTGTGGAAACACTTGTTTCTTCCATATTTTGGACCTTAGCTCCATGGAACAATATGCTACTGCTGAAACATGAAAGAATTGAAATCTTAGATCAAAACACTAATGTTAGGTTGCAATTTATGGACTTTGTTGTTGTTCCATCATTATATAATGTTATCTAGAATTTTGGGCAGTGAACAAAACTTTACGGTAGTGTCATCCCACTCTATAACTAATCATACCCTGAGATATCGGTGTACATCCTATTGAGCATAGAATGCTGAAGAACTCTAATCAGATGTTCGGGTTCAACTTTCCTCTAAGTTATTTTCTCCAACTGTGAAGCTGTTGCAGCCCCTGCTCAGCTAGTTCACATCGAGAACTCGCTGAAGGCTTAAGTCCTGGTATTGCCCACTTTAACAGACATTAACAAGTTGCAGCCGGCCTGACGCATTTTGGTAGCCCAAGCTACTCACTAAGTTACTGTTAATTTTTTTGTCTAGATTGATCAGTGTATTGTTGAAAAAGTCTTCTCAAGTACCATTGATGTAGAACAACTTGTTCACGATTATCTGAGCATACAAGATCATCGCAAATCAGGGAGGCCGAAAAGGTAAGGACAATACGATAAAAAAATAAATAAATAAGGAAAAGTCAAAAGGAGATTTGGTGTAACTGCCAACAATAGAAGATATTATTCTCCATTGCAAGAATTAAGGAGGATTCAGAAAATAAATAAGAAGATTTGGTGTAGTTGCCAACAATAGAAGATATTATTCGCAAGATTTAAGGAGGATTCTGCTCCATCAGATCTCAGATTTCCCCTTTAATATTATTTCACGCATGCTTTCTTTTTTTAATTTATTTTTGACTTGCCTATATGAAGGCAATAGATGTAAGTCTACAGATATCATCATTATCAATATAATTTCAGTTTCTCTCTTTTGAGTGTATTCTTTGTGAATTCAAGGGTTTAACCCTGTTCTTTATCGTTTCCGCTACGTTAGTTGGTATCAAAGCAAGGTTCCGAATCCAAAATTCGCCTTTGTTTCCGGTGGCCGGTTCATGAGATGGAAGCAGTGAAGCACCCTTCCAGCGACGATGATCGTGATGGAGTAGCTCTTTTGAGGGTTGAGTTTACTGAGTTCCATACCAACGTTAATTGAAATTTACTTGATATGCATGAACTATGCATCAAGTATTGGCAAGATTGACAACGGTAGAACTTAACCGCAAGAACAACAGGCTGCCCAACGACGGTGATCATGGACGTCTTGCTGGTAATCGCAACCCAAACCCACCGAATAGGCAACCAGCCTTTGAGGAAAATGTTGGTTTTTGGTAACAACCGAGCTGTACAGGTGTTTGGAGATAATCGAGGTCGATGAGAAATTGATGATTCCGGGGATTTTCATATGAAGATTGACTTACCCACCTTTCAAGGTCATTTTCGTATTGAAGAATTCTTGGACTGGATTAGTGAAGTTGAGCGTTTCTTTAACTATCTGAAAATCTAGGAGGAGAAGCAAGCCAAACTCGTGGCCTATAAGTTAAAAGGCGGCGCATCAGCATGGTGGGATCAAGTGCAAACTACTCGTGCAAGTGAGGGTAAAGATCGGGTATGTACATGGGTTAAGATGAAGAAGTTGATGAAAGCTCGATTTTTACCCTCTGACTACGAACAGGTTCTTTATTAGAAATATCAGTCCTGCACGCAGGGAAGTAGAACGATTGTTGAATATGCTAAAATTTTTTATCGGTTGTCATCCCGTAACAACTTGGCGGAACCCAAATATAGCATGGTGGCCCGTTTCAAAGGCGGGTTACAATGGGATATTGAAGAGAAAGTGGCGCTGCAACTGCTATTCAAACTGTTTGAGATTGTCATGGCGGCAGAGAGAGCATAATCATTACTGGAGTAGTCAAAGAATCGGTCTCGTGGTTCATATAATACCCCACGTCCTATACATGACATGGGTAAACAGACTGTAGTAGCCCTTGTTCCAATGACAGGGCGAGGTATTGGAGATGATCCAACAAAGGCCAAACCCGCAGCACCCATAGGCCCTGCTGGAAGGGGAGCCCCAGCTGTGAGAGAAAATCCCTATGCACACCCAACTATTGGGAAGTGTTTTTGATGTGGAGAACCCGGCCACAAATCCAACAATTGCCCTAATCGACTGATAGTAAATCTGGTCGAGCATGAGGAAGGCGAGGGTGAGGAAGGTGAGTTCCTTACATTTGAAGAAGAAGAGGTGACTGAAGGAGACAATGGCGAGTTGTTGTCCCACTCTTTAGTCGTGAGGAGGTTGATGTTCACGCCAAAGGAGCAGCACCTGCACCGTCATAATGTGTTCCGTACACGTTGCACTGTGGCATGTGACGTTATTATCGATAGCGACAGTAGTGAAAACATTGTTTCCTTAACAATGGTTTGAAAATTGGGGCTTAAAACAGAGAAACATCTCCATCCATACAAAATTGGATGGATGAAGAAAGGCTCAGAGACCCTGCACCGTTCCATTCTCAATTGGGAAAGTATATGCAGAGGAGGTGCGTTGTGATGTAGTCGACATGGATGTATGCCATATGATATTGGGCAGACCATGGCAATTTGATGTTGATGTCACTCACCGTGGTAGAGACAATGTGTATATTCTATACAAGAATGGTTAAAAGATTGTTTTGGGTCCGCTGAAAGAAGCCGAATTTCCCAAAGGAAATTCAGTTATGTTGATCAACAATGAGTAATTTTTGGGCGAAGTAACAATTGCCCCTGAAATCTTTGCTGTTACGCGCAAGGGGGAAGTTGTTGAACAACCTCCTTTTACAATATCAGCAATAGTGCAGCCATTACTGCAGGAGTTTAGTGAGTTGGTGCCGGAAGACTTGCCTGATAGTCTCCTTCCCATGAGGGACATTCAACACTACAGTGACTTGGTGCCTGGGGCGAGCCAGCCAAATCTACCACATTACCGGATGAGTCCTAACCATAGTTATTAAAAGCCCGAGGCGCACCGAGGCGCTAGAGGTCCCTTGGAGCGTAGGCGCGAGGCGCACGGCGAGGCGCGAGCCTGAGTTATGTGAGGCGCACAAGTAAAATTTTAAAACAATAATTCTTAGCAAAACTAACATAATTAAACAATGAACATCCAATAATAAAAACACTAAATTAATCTAAATATATTACAATTAAACCAATAAAGCAACCAGTAAAATAGAACAATTAAACTAAGAAAGCTATTTATTCATAAGAAAGATTCAAAAGAAGCAAAACATAAACCAATTAACCATATATTATAAATTTATACTTGATGTCTTAAGCAAAAGCTATCATTTGACTCCAAAACAGATCCATTAAAAGATACTTAGTAGCCTACCAAATCTATAAAGTATCATAGTCAATTCTTAGTAGCCTACCAAATCTATAAACCAAGCAACAAAATATTAGTTTCAGTTTTGAGTTTTGACAAGGAATCCTAAAACCAAAGTTACCAAACAATCTTAAGGGACCTAAATATCATCCTCTTCACCAAACAACATAGTCTCATCATCGTCCCCATCAAAAGATTTGTAACCTTCAGCATCTTCTTCCTCTTCTGTCTCCTCAGAGTTTGCCTCGTCATCATCTATGATTCGTAGTGAAGAC